TTAAAAGTGCATATTCTGTGAATGAATAAAAGCTAAAATGGCTTGCCATAGGATGTCTCTGTGTTTTATGGAGTATGCATGTTAGAACAATACTTGATACTTGATGGTTATTATTTACTGAGGGATGTGCAACCTTATTGACATACATATGGATGCACATCCCTCAGTAAATAATAACCATCAAGTATCAAGTATTGTTCTAACATGCATACTATAAAACACAGTGACATGCTATGGCAAGCCATTTACCATGCCCAGCTAATCAACATTTTAAATTCAATATATAAATCAGTAGTCAATGTCAATCCATTGCTTTGCATCTTGCATTCGTGCAGAGTTGTTACTAAACCTTGACTGAGAGACTAGATAATAATAAGCACCTATAATGATGAGTGCCATCACGCCCATATATTGTACTGGTCCCCACTGATGTTGCTGCTGGAAAATGTACATTTCATTACATGCTTGCGCATATTAACGCATGTTCACATGCGATGTGGTTATCTTTTCCGAGCTGCAGTTTATAAACACTGTTGCCCTTTGGCGTTTAACAAACATAATAAACTGTCAGGCACAAAGTCACAGAACACAGCCCTGGAAGTGGCTGGCAATGGCAAGCAAGCAAGACACAGACAGACCAAGAGATGCACTGCCTAGCTAGGTTAGCAAGGCAGACAGGCTAAAGAGAGATGCAAATTAACTTAACTTTACTCTTATTTGCTGATATCAAACAATACACTCTCATGGTGTTTTTTCCCCTCTCTCTCTCTGTCTCTCTTTTCGTGACCAGAGGGATAGTTCTGCTTCGTATTCTCATTAAAGTTGTAAACAGAGACATATTCTTTGACACAAGGAGCCTTGCATAATTTGCGGGGCCCTACGCAACTTGTGTATAGGGCCGCTCTGATTTAGATAGAATGTGACCTCAATTAATTCCCAATTTCAGGTTTTGCAGATTTGCAACCCAAATTGCAAACAATAAGATATAGGCTACACACTTAGTTGCAATGTTTACATTCTCATAAAACTTTCTCTAAAACTGCCCTTTCAAACTTTTACCAAAATGAAATGGATGAGCGCAACTAGATTGTGGAACAGAATCAGCCAGAAAATGTCCAGCATACATGAGAACGTTTCTCCCATACAGAAATGTAATGTATGACAAAAATTGCCCTGTACAACCGTGATATTGCCATAAGGTGATAAAATTTTCACATGGGTAGATGAAGTTTATAACATACATAAAAATCTCATAGTAAAATGTGTATGTACATGTGTTAATAATATCTATATGATGATTTTTTATATAGTACTATATGTAGCAACTGTATGTAAACAATATATATACTGTGTGTATATATATATATATATATATATATATATATGCATATTTTTTTAAACTATATATATACAAAAATCTGTATGTTTATGTTTTGTAATACATTTTTAAAATACATGTCTATCTTTTATATTTACTTATATAATATAAGTATTGTATAATCTACATACAGTTTTTGTATGGGCTAGAAATATGTGTTAATATATTAAATTGTTCCAGTGTCTTTCATATATGTTTTTACTTCATATGACAATATATTTAAATTTAATGTATGTATGTTTTACATGTGCATACAAACAATACTGTTAAAAAAAGTTATTTACAAATATTCATCATCTGCCAAGATGCAAATGTGTCCACCTCCATCAAATCAACCATTTCTTATCCAAACTTTTTCCTCCTCCTCTTGTACGATGACATACCACCATTTACTCAAATTATTAAAAGATTTATTAGCCTTGATGCAGGATTACGAATCTAGACTACAGGAAACGAGCTGGCACAACTCGCACAACAAAATAACACTGAAATCAGAAATCAGAGAGGAACATTTCAACACAGAGGAGTGCATGCAGTAAATCACAGCTTTTGAGAGATACTTCCAGTAATGTCACTGGCTCAAATCAAAGCACATTGTTAAAGCATAGATGAGACAAAATATGTTCAAATGACTCCTTTTGCTCCCTGCGATTCCAGTAGCTGAGACAGTGAGAACGATACAATTATATGAGCATTTATTGTTGGACAGCATTATCTGCCAATATTTTCATTGATATAATGCTTTAGGATGTAGCTGACCGTCTGCAAGCAGACTTAAAATGTTACCTAACAACTCTGAGGCCTGTTTGAATATATCTGCATTGACCCCAGGCTGCAAGAAAATACCAGCAGGATGATGACCCATATTCCAAATGAATAGCACAAGGAAACTCATGCTCAATATTTTCCTCTCCTTCAGCTAGCATGTGGCAGAATAGCACCTCCAAACAAGAGGGAGCAAACTTCTCCTGAATTCATTGAACATGCAAATGCAGTCCAGTTGGAAATGGATTAAAATGACAAGCGAAGAAAAGAAAGAAGTATTAATAAAATGCAATGTGCAAGCCCGCTGAGGAAATTGTAATGGGCTACATGTACAGTTCAAAAGACATTTCAGAATCAGCAACTTGTTAAGATCAGGCAACCTTCATTTACATAACCATATCACAATGGACTGAGAATGTCGTGCCATATGAGCATGTTTGCTCTGCGCTTCAGAATACTGTAGGCAGAAAGAAGGAGACTGCAAGAGTACAGGCTCTTTTTGTTTGTGCTCTTGCATAGATGTGTACTAAGCACATCATGGGATGTGACATTTTTCGGTTTCTACTTAAGGCTATGCTATAATCTTAAGAACAAGATGATTCCATGCCCAAATGCCATATATATACACCCTGTGTTAATGGACAACTCATAAAATATTGATTTGCACTTAAAATCGAAATATACATTGTATATACATTTTATTTTAATATCTCAAGTCAATATGCAATACATCATCACATGCCTGTCACGATTTTGTTGAAGCAACTGTGACAAACTGATGCATAATGCTGGATAACATGGAGACAATTTCTGTCCGGATGTATGAAAGGTTGCAATTCAGTCGACAGTTTAATAAGAGGGCAGGTATTTTAATGCTGAATTAGGAAGCTCGTATTAGAAGTTATCACTGTTCTTCCAATGAATCACTGGTGTAATATGTAAATATAGTCATCAGTGTTTGTTTGTTTGCACATGCACAGTGTTAGTATTTGTGGTCATGCATGTAGAACTATGCAGCCATTCGTATTTGACATGGCTATATTGTTTGTTGCTTGATGCGAATGCTGTTTATACTGCAAAATTATGCACCAATAAATTAAATGTCTGTATCTTATTCCCATTGCTATAAATAGAGGGCGGGCCACACAAGCATTAGAATAGTTTAATTTCTGATTAAAACAGCTGAAGTGTGCTTTAATGTTAAAATGCTTCGTTTTATTGCATATAGTGTGTCTAACCTTGTGAAAAAAGGAGTACAGTTTAGCAAAAGAGAACTTAAAACAGAAATAATGCAAAACTGAATATCATGTTTTCCGACACTTAACTGCATATTACTTACAATGAAATGAAAATGTATTACAGTTTAAATTTATATTAAATGCAATTAGCTGGAATTAAGTGTGTATTTGACCCACTTAAATATGACTTAAGTACATTTTTTATATATAATTTCATAATGATAATTTCATTGCCGAATGTACTGACAGGCATTTATGGTAAACAAAATTATACTTTAATGAAATTTCTATCGAAGCATGTATATCATGTATTTAAATATATTTGTAATTACATATTTGCGATGAAGTTGCAATATATTACACATAATAAATAATATATAATATATTGTGTATAATCATGTACTTGTATCAAGTACTTTATTTGTGCTTTAGCATGTTAGTCAACACATCAAAATAAGTCTACTTCTTTAAAACATGACAAAAGATTATTAAAACATAATGATTTAAAATGTACTTTAAAGAAAAACTTTTAATTATTACAAAGTGAACTTTTTAAAAGTGTTAAGCAACAATCATGAACGTTTGCTCTCTTTAAGTATACTTACTACAAGTAATTTTTTAAAGCATTAAAAGTGCTGTCAATACAATTAAGTTTACTTCTTTTTCACAAGGGTAGACATGCCATACATAAGCGGAGTGAGGTTGGGGTGGGACTATTTGTTTGGTCCACTAATGACAGATAAGGGGAGAGTGTATTTAAAACAGTTTGAAAACAGCAGAATTACAGTATTAAGAAATCCTTTTGGTTCTGCTATAGGCACAGAAATTACACACTTCATCTTTTTAATTAGAGCAGAGATTTGTGCACTTCTCTCGTGATTGACAAAGTGCCTGGCAATGTTCAAGTGTTTCCACAAATCATTTAAACAGGGATAAAATCAAGTAGCTTACATTTGAATCAGTGCATTGGCACAGATTTGTAGACAGAATTTTAAAATTTTCTCAGGCAACCTACTGACTAGTCAACTAATATTTCTTAAAGAAGTCCTGTATAATTGGCTAATTTCATGTTCACTAATCAGACATGTTTGTTGGCAGGTGTTGACATAAGACCAGACACAACAGAATGAAACTGACTGCAAGAGTCTCAAGACACATTTTTAAAAAGGTATTTTTCAGTAAACAACTCATTTTAATTTGCCGCCTTAATAATGCTCATGGCGCAAGATGCTTAAAAAACATCATGAAACATCAACCAAAGACCTGTCTGCATGTGAAAGGATGTGTTGCCGGTGTCTTAAAGGCAGTGGATTTGAAGACGCAGCTTATCCAAGAGGGTTTCATCGTGCAAACTGTCAAACAGCGCTCTGTCAACATGCTAATCGGCTAGTCAGTTAATGACCATTCTCAGACGCCCATTATCTTTACACCAAGATGATGATTTGAGCAATGAACTATGCATATCCAGCAAAACCAAAGCAAACTCTTTTAGTGAATGTACATGCTATTATCTATAGATTAAATCTTCATATTACGCTGCACTGTACGCTTCTTGACGTATCTGTTTCAGTTCTCCAGATGTCCAGAAATGAAAAGAGCCCACGGGCAGGCAGAGCAAAGTCTTCGAAAGCTCTGAAGGGCATACAAAACATTAGAAAGCAGAAGTGGCCTTGCGAGGTTGAAAAGAGTCAGCAGGGATCAGAAGGCCTGGTCCTGATGGGAATTCAATGTATTGTCTGCTCTTACGCCGAAGCAGAGGCGAAAATGACTCCGGTTTGCATGCTGGGAGAGCAGTAATGGTGTCAAGGGCAAGATCGGAGACCATGATCCAAACCGTCAGTCATGTTTGAACAGCTTATGAATGAACAAAATTTAGTCAGGATGACAGTGTATACTTTATGTTGTTGCACAGCAGCCCAGTTCCAGCTCTCATCTGTTTCAGTACTGTGGAGGTGTTCAGGGCTGGACTGGACCTCAGGTTGAGTGCTATTCAGGTGTGTTGGCGATGGAGCTGGGGGTTGAATTCAGCACTGGGTTCATCGGCGGTATGGCCTTGTGACTGAAGTACTCCACTACCTGTTTAGGCACCTCCGCTAGGACACACTTTGCCAGTGCAGCTGGTGAAGCCTGCAAAAGTCACACTTTTATTGGCCTCCGTGGGGGGGGGGAAACATTAACAACAGTGAAAAAGAGGAAATCAACCAAATTCATGGTAAGTTGTGTTCAAACAAAGGCATGAGGAAAAAGTACAGTTTGTAATTTGAATTGTCTGGTAGAGAGCCAAACAGCAGGCTGTTGAGAGTATTTACACTTGACTTGTTTAATCCTCACTTCTCTTTTTTTTCTGGCTGTGTACATCAGTGGAGGGAACAAACAGCTCTTATTGAGAAACTGTGAAGCTCTAAGAGCCATTTCTGCCCAAATGCACCACTGGAATATGATTGATATTGCAATGATATATATGATTGATATGAGATTTGCTTCACTGCCTGCTTCATTCACCATTCCATTTATACAAGGCATCCATGGCTCCTTTTACAATATGTTAAATGTAATTTACAAATTTTAAGGCCATAAAAAGTATTGCAATATTTTTTTTTTGCAAATGCCTGTTTTCGCCACTGAATAAAAAATAAAACAGGTAATTGCGACTTTTTATCTCACAATTCTGACATTTTTTCTCAGAATTGCGAGTTTATATCTCACAATTCTAAATTTTTTACTTGCAATTGCGAGTTTATATCTCGCAGTTCTCACTTTATTTCTCAGAATTGCGTGATATAAACTCGCAGTTGCAAGTTAAAAAGTCATAATTGAGGGACATAAAGTCGCAATTCTGAGAAATAAAGTGAGAACTGCGAAATATAAACTCACAATTCTGACTTTTTTTCTCGCAATTGCGTGATATAAACTCGCAATTGCAAGTAAAAAATTTAGAATTGTGAGATATAAACTCGCAATTGCGAGAAAAAAAGTCAGAATTGCGAGTTTTTATCTCGCAATTCTGACTTTATATCTCGCAATTCTGACTTTGTTTCTCGCAATTCTGACTTTTTTTCTCGCAATTGCGAGTTTATATCTCACAATTCTGAGAGAAAAAGTCAGAATTGCGAGAAAAAAAGTCAGAATTGCGAGAAACAAAGTCAGAATTGCGAGATATAAACTCGCAATTGCGAGAAAAAAAGTCAGAATTGCGAGGTATAAAGTCAGAATTGTGAGTTATAAAGTCAGAATTGTGAGTTATAAAGTCAGAATTGTGAGTTATAAAGTCAGAATTGTGAGTTATAAAGTCAGAATTGTGAGTTATAAAGTCAGAATTGTGAGTTATAAAGTCAGAATTGTGAGTTATAAAGTCAGAATTGTGAGTTATAAAGTCAGAATTGTGAGTTATAAAGTCAGAATTGTGAGTTATAAAGTCAGAATTGTGAGTTATAAAGTCAGAATTGTGAGTTATAAAGTCAGAATTGTGAGTTATAAAGTCAGAATTGTGAGTTATAAAGTCAGAATTGTGAGTTATAAAGTCAGAATTGTGAGTTATAAAGTCAGAATTGTGAGTTATAAAGTCAGAATTGTGAGTTATAAAGTCAGAATTGTGAGTTATAAAGTCAGAATTGTGAGTTATAAAGTCAGAATTGTGAGTTATAAAGTCAGAATTGTGAGTTATAAAGTCAGAATTGTGAGTTATAAAGTCAGAATTGTGAGTTATAAAGTCAGAATTGTGAGTTATAAAGTCAGAATTGTGAGTTATAAAGTCAGAATTGTGAGTTATAAAGTCAGAATTGTGAGTTATAAAGTCAGAATTGTGAGTTATAAAGTCAGAATTGTGAGTTATAAAGTCAGAATTGCGAGTTTTTATCTCGCAATTCTGACTTTATAGCTCACAATTCTGACTTTATAGCTCGCAATTGTGAGTTTACAGCTCACAATTGTGAGTTTATATCATGCAATTCTGTGAAAAAAAGTCAGAATTGTGAGATAAAAAGTCGGAATTACCTTTTTTTTATTATCCTGTGGAGGAAACAATTTTCCATAGCGATCTCAGTATGAACTCAAACACTTGATGAGACACGACTCATATTGAGATCTAGGCTTTAGTATCATAGTAACTGTGGGCCCAGTTTGAAACACTGGTGAGACGATACAATATTACAAGAGAAAAACATCTGAGAAGCAGGACTGTTCCTGTCTACTAGAAACAACTGAGATATTAGAGAGTTTATCGTCTCCTCTGGGATCATTGAAACAGATGATAAAAACATTTCTATCAGCTCCTTCAGCGAACGACACACGAGGAACGCTTCCCGCCC